CTATATTATCACGTGTTACTATAGCATTGTTACCATTTATACCTGTAGTTTGCCACTGTAATTTTCTGTGCATGCAGTTTTTATTATTGTAATTTTATGTTTTTGACCAATATTTCATGTACACAGTTATTAATATTGTGGGTGTTAGAATTTGGTTGGTAAACTTTTCAATTGTATACAACACATGTTTACTCTACCCTAACCCTTTTTCCTTTGCTCCTCCTGACTATAAATACCTTCATATAACAGTTCCATCTTCTCTGTTCTTCAGGCCTCACAGAAACAACAATACTGAAGCTCTGCATTTTTTCTTAGCACGACTCACCCACCCAGGTTCCCCCTAAATATATGCTCCTCCAGCTGTTGGAGAGTCTCACTTAATTACCTCTTCATTCCCTTTATATTTTACCAATAGCTGCAACTATCTGTTAACCTCTTTTAGCCATCACTTTCCCCCTGCTACCTCTTGTCTCAAATCCCCACTGTATCCTTTAGATTGTAAGCTCACGGACTATCTAGCGAAGCACTTTGTATTAAAGTGTATCAATGACTAGACCTCAGCTTATTGGCACGGCCGTCTCTACCTTTTTTATTTGCCTGTGCATATTGTACGTTCTAGAATTGGGAAGGATGGGAGTTTGAAATAGAGTGGTCAAAGGATAAATAGGGGCATGAACCCAGTGACATATTTAAGATAAATTAAGAAAGATCCCTGGCCCAAAAAATAACAATAAGGTACTGTATAAAAATGAACTTTTATTACATCAGTTTAAAAGAATATGTCAGTAGCTAGTGTACAAATGACGAAGGCCCTAAGGGGTCGAAACGTTGTTTGTTGGTGCTTGGGTCCAATAAAATTGCCTATCTGTTGGAATACCTTTGAGTGCCTGGATTATTTTTTACATTTATATTTGATATTCGGTCCCTTTGGTACTGGGGCTTATCCAGCCTATTGCACCCAGGATCCCAGGACAAGGGATAGTGTGCATTTCCATCACCTATACATGAGTAGCTAGTGTATGTCATGGACACAATAAGATATGTGTCTATAGTAAATCGAGTGATATCCTATGTAGTAGAGAAATATATATGTAAAGAAAAAGAAAAAAAATAATTAAAAAAATAATAATATTAATATATAACAATGTAGTAGCAAAGGTACACATATTTGCAAAAAACTGAGTGAAAAAATAAAAAAATAAAATGTAAGCAAGTATAAGGCTGAATCACTGTATTTATATCGTAATGACTAATCTTTGAACCTCTCTAGTGTAGACTTTGTAATACCGGATACAATGTATCTCTGTAATATATGCCTTGCAATGTCTCAATAGCACTGGCTTTCAGAGATACTGTTGCTAACTTACAAAGAGTGACAGTGAGTAAGAGACCTGTGTTACCAAGGAGGGTGAATCTCAACTAAATAACGTTTTGAAAAAATGTGATTCTCGGTACGTCTACACACAGTCAGGTTAAAAAATATATATGCAAACACTGTTTTTAGTGAGATCAAACACTACTCAGACAATATTTCTTATATCACTACTGTTATAATTGAACAAAGCTCCAAAGGAGATCCTGTACTGTGCCATCTAGGGCACCTTCAAGAAATTACTGCTGTATTAAATCAAAACTCAGTGAGAATCCTAAGCTGTGCCTTTGTTGGCCCTGTGCTTGTGGAGCAAGCAGAAAACTAGCTATCTAAAGAAGGAGCAAAGTAGTAATTAAGTAATTTTACCAGTGCTGTTGTGAAGTTCATTAGAATGTAGCACAATTTCAGTCAGTTGTAAGGTGTTTAATTACAGCTTCTAGTCGCAGTGAACCCCCACGTGCGTTGCGCCGATAGGGCGGTTTTTCAGGGGATAACTGGCCTTGTTTCTTTTGAACTGATATAATAAAAGTTCATTTTTAGACATTTATATAGTACCATATTGTTATTTCTTTCATCAGGGATCTTTCTTCATTTATTGTATGCTCTACACTAATTGTACAGTGCAGCGGAATATGTTGGCACTTTATCAATACCAGTAATAAATAAAGGAGTGGGAGGAGATATTTATACTCTTCTTTTAATTTGTTCCTGTATAATTAGAGATATATTTAGGAGCTACCCATCGTTGGGCTAACATGGCCTATGACCAGGAAAAGAAAATTAAGTATGTTTGAATACATTTTCCCTTTTTATATAAATGATCTGCAAATAATGCTGCTTAGTAAACTATGAAACTGGAAGCTTGTTGTGTAATTTTACGATAATGTGGACTGTCTTAGTTGCAAACTAACTGGTTGACCCATTATTACAAATGAATAATAGGTCTATGTGAAAATGTAACACTTGTATAATGGGTCTCTAAGCGAAGTAATTGTGTATTTGGATTTATAACTTCAAGATCTGTCAGTGTTTCAGTGTGGTCACCTGGGAATGACATTGAAATTCAAGCCTTCAGTGAGAATTACTGATAAAACTTGGAGATTCGTTTTGTGTTGAACTGCAATCCAGCCAAATTTAAACCAATCAAGTATATAGCCAAATTCCTGCACTACAAGCTGAAATGTATCTGAATTAAGGATCAAATATTAAGGATTAAATATATGTAATACATTTTTAATAAATATATACTATATACATAGATAATACTTTATTTTTACTGCATATCGTGATTTTTTTTCCATCTACTGGCTACATTTTCTCACTTGATATGTGAACCAAATGGAGGGAAAATATATCTATTAGTGTGCCATATATATATATATATATATATATAGTAGATACAGGTAGACCAAGCAGTCACAAGGGATTCTAAGACCAGATAGACCAATCTGTGCTCGGCCTTTATTGCCTACAAGAAAGCCTGTGACACAATGCCACTCACATGGATACTGGAATGCTTGGCTCTCTACAAGGTCAACAAGACAAAAAGAGCCTTCCTCAAGAACTCGATGGACAAGTGGAAAACAACTATAGAAGCCAATTCCTTAGCCAGATCATCAAGAAGAGTGGATACAGATACAGGTTCAAGAGTGGAGCTACAATCAGCCACCTAATGTACACGGACGACATCAAGCTGTATGCAAAGAATGAGCGGGACATTGACTCACTTTTTCACCTAACTAGGATATACAGCAAGGACATACGAATGTCGTTCAGACTAGACGGGTGGATAATAGCAAAAAGAGGGAAGCTGTTGAGGACAGAAGATGTTCAAGTTCCAGAAGGCCAAATAGAAGATATCGAGAACAGTTACAAGTACCTGTGGGTACCACAAACGCATGGCAACCATGAGGGAGAGGCAAGGAGGATAGCAAAATCCAAGTACCTCCAAAAAGTCAGACAGGTCCTGAAGTCCCAGCTCAATGGCAAGAACAAGATCCAACGTGGATAAATAACGTGGAACTGGTCACCGTGGATGTCAAGACCTGGAAACTACTCAGCATGAATGGAGGATTCCACCTGAAATCCAGCACCCAGAGACTTTGCCCCAGCCGGATAGAAGGAGGTCAGGGCCTGATGAAAGTCAAGGCCACAGTCCTGGATGAAATACAGAGCATCCACAAGTACATCACAAAGATGGATCCCAAAGATGAACTGTTAAGGGAATACTTGAGATAACAACATATAGAGGATGCAGAATAAGAGGAGGTCCCTTGGTAAGACAAACCTCTCCATGAGGTGTACCACGGGCAGATAGTAAATGTGGCCCACATGACAAAATCCTACCAGTGGTTGGAAAAGGTCTGAAAGACCGCACTGAGTCACTAATCCTAGCAGCACAGAAACAGGCACTCAGCATCAGCCAGATCAATAAAAGCTGTAGTCTACCACAACAGGCAAGACCCAATGTGCAGACTGTGCAAAGAGGTATTTGAGACAGTCCAGCACCTAGTAGCTGGATGCAAGATGACAGCAGGAACAGCATACACATAGAGACACAGCCAAGTTGCTGGGATTGTGTATCGAAACATCTGCACAGAATATGCATTGAATCTGCCTAAGTCCAGATGGGATATACCACAAAGGGTAGTTAAGAATGACAGAGCTAAGATCCTGTGGGACTTCAAGATCCAGACAGACAAGCAAGTGCTGGCTAACCAACCGGACATCATGGTGGTAGACAAGGAAAGGAAGACTGCAGTAGTGGTGGATGTGGCAGTACCCAGTGACTATAACAACAGGAAGAAGGAACATGTGAAGGTGGAAAAATACCAAGGACTAAAAGAAGAGCTAGAAAGGATGTAGAAAGTGACTACAGTAGTAGTCCCAGTTGTGATAGGAGCACTTGGGGCTGTAGCTTCAGCAGATTCCAGGTCGCTGTCCAGAAGAAAGCTGTTCATGGAACAACTAAGATACTGTGCAGAACCCTCAAACTCCCAGGCCTCTGGTGGAGGACCCGAGAATGAGAGCAATAAACATACAACCCAGGAGTGGTGAGAAAATAAATATATATGAAACCTTTTATTATGTATATATTTTGCAGCACAGTGATTGGCCTGTGTTCTTGTTTTTTGTTTTTTTTTTGTTCTCTTCTCTAATTGGAATCTTGTTTCCAAACTTTTGCACCACAAAACATGCTTTATGTTAGTTTTTGTTTTGTTTTTGTTTTTTTTAGATAATTGTAACAATAATAATAATATTAATAATAATAATAATAATAATAATAATAACGTATCAGAATTGGAGAGGGAATATCAAACAGACGTCTTCATTTGTTATCAGTGTTAATAACAATGAGCTTGTCTTTCTTGAGCACAAAACCATTTCTAATAGTTTGGAAAGTGTTTGTAAGCCTAATCCTGTTTTTCAATATTTCTGTAATTTCTAACTTTAAATAACGATTGAAATGCCATTTTATTGGTTGCACGAACATAGTAAGAGAGATTAGATTGTAAAAAGTTGTTTATGAAACAATTACGTTTATTTTGTTCAGATATAGCAAATTACAATCGATAAAAATACTACATTATTTATTTAAGATACTCAGCAAAAAGCTATATATTTTATGATTAGAGATAATCCACCATCAGTGTATGCATAGGTTCTCCCATCTTCATGATGACTGAGACGGTTTGTATCTAGATTTGTCTACCGTCTGATACAGCGGTTCGTCGTTTATCTCACTGTAAACATCCAAGTTTACATTTTCAGTTTTACTTAGATCAAGTGCACATTGATGCAAGAAGATATACTGGTTCTAAAACACAAAATAAAGTATTAGTGCATTTATCTCACAACCTTATATTAATCACACAAACAGTACTGCACTTCAAAATGTACATAGACAATCTCTGTGACACACTTAATTCAGATTTGTAGGTTCACATCTAGCCTAGGTAAAATTAACCTAAAAACAAAACATCTCATAGTGCAAAACCATATGCACCCCAATGGAATTCACTAACAGAAGCTCCAAAACTAGCTCTGGGTGCAAACATGTTCTTCACTTTATTGGAAAGAGCCTTGTTTGGATTGTTTGTCATTATCTTAATCGCAAATCATGTCATAAACACTACCACAACAATGCCGAAGGTAGCAAATAGATGTATTTATAAACAACAATGAAAATAGTTATGAATTCCTCTATAGCATTAAATAATAATGCAAATTTAAATATGCAATACTTAAATTAACATTTTAGAGAATTCTCTGAATGCAGAAAGCTAAATTAAATGTTTACCTACCTCGGTTTGCACCATTTGTGGCCCATGGGTATGTATGTTGTACACAGTGTCATATAAATCCACAGTTTTTCCTTCCTCGATTTGTTGTATAATCTGATCCAACACAATAAAAACACCAGTCCTTCCAGAACTTGAGACAAAAAAAAGATTTAGAATAAAATGCCTTTGTGATAATTATATAGTTACTTTTATAAAGCACAATATATATTCTAACCCATTTTGTTACAGTTATATAATTAGAAGGAACAGTGCACATTAAGTAAATGGTACTGAATGAAAAATATGTATCAATATTAAAGATGCATTCTTCCCAAGCACAGAGCATGTTTGTGAGAAAGAGATTGGAGTTGTCTGCCATTTTTGTGAAGATCTGTAGGGTTACCAATTAAGGCCTTCATGTTGGGCAAGTTTGACTAAACTTCACGACTGAGGTGCAGCACTTGGGCTAATAGCAATCACTACAGAGGTAGATACATTTATTTTCCTCAAAGTTACTAAATATAGGTTATGAACAACCTGCTATTACTTACAAAGATCAGTGCCATTTACAGCAGAGATATTTAACATAACTGTAATAAAATAATCCAACATACAGGCATTATTTTGGTGATATATAAAATGTTGCATTCCTACAAAGTGTCATCAACTCCTATACTGCCTATTCACATTTTTTTTTTTGACATTCTTTATTTAGTTTTGTGGTTTGACAAGAAGTAACAGTACAAACATTTGTTTCCGTAACAGTGTTTCGCTAAAGATCCCTTTTGCCATATCCCTTCTCATATCACCCCCCCTGCTGAGGTACGAGCCTGCTATCAGGGCTCGGCTGGCGGCCGGGTTCCCACCGGGCGGCAGGGACAGCCCCCCAAGGGCTGATAGAGGTGCCGTTACTCCCATTCCCCTCCCTCCATCCCGCGCCCCCGCCCCCCAGTCTCGGGCCCCAAGCGGGGAGGGTTGTGGGTAAAGCGGTAGTTAGGTGAGGGTGCGCCTCATTGCGCGGTTGGGTTGGGGTACCTTGGCTCGAGGCGCGGGCCGGGCTCCCCCCTCTGTGGGGGGTGATAGGTGTGTGGGTCTGGGTGTTATAGCGTCCCTGCGCCATCCTGGAAAGAAAGGGACGCCCCTAGGTCGTCTGCGTCGCCTGGGTCGTGGCCGGGGATAGGGGGTTCGTGAGCAGGCCACTCCCCTGGGTGGTCGAGTCGGGGCCACGTCCGGGCCCTCTGGATCCCTCTGGGGGCTGTCAGGTGTCAGGGCCTGGTGGTGTCATGTGGGCTCCCTGCCCCCCAGGGACCCCCAGCCGCCCCCCGGGGCCAGTGCGTGCGGAGCGAGCTCCCCTTTGGGCATCCGTCCAGTTGTGCGCATCGAGTGCGTCTCTCCCTATTCAATCTCACCCTAGCTCATCACCGCCTATGTGGGCTGGATTGGTTGCGTTGTGTGTGTGGCTCCCTTGGTCCCTATCATGGTTGAATCTGGGTTGTGCGGTGTTAGTCTTGTGAGGATGGGGTCCAGGCCAAATGTACTGGGTCCTTTGTTTTAATTGGGGGGAGTGAGCTGGGTCCCCCTGGGTGCCGGTGCGGGGAAGGGGTGGGAGAAAAGGGGGAGCGGGAACGGGGATTAAAAAAGGGGGGGGAGGGGAGGGGGGGGGCCCGCGTCCCATTAACCATCCCCAGCCTCTCTCCCAGGTCCCTGATGGGCTGACGCCCCCCGCCCCCGGTCAGCCATATAGGTGATCCAGGGGGTCCAAAGTCGGGTGCAGCGTTCCTGTGTTCCCCGTAGTTCAGCCGTGAGGGTCTCCATTGTGTATATTTCGTCTACCTTATCTAGCCATTGGGATAGAGTGGGAATGTCTGTCGACTTCCATCTGGCGGGGATCAGGCTCTTGGCGGCATTGAGGAAGTGCCGAATTAGAGATTTTTTGTAGCGTGGTATTGGCATTTGTGTGTGGTTGAGTAGCATGGGCATAGGTTCCATGGGGATATCTTCTTCTAAGATTTCCACGAGTTTGTCATGGATCTGTTGCCAGTAACCTGTGATCCGAGGGCATGTCCACCAGACATGCAGGTCTGTACCTTCAGCGGCTGTGCATCGCCAGCATGAGTCGTCAGATGTCAGCCCCATGGATCTCAGTTTGGACGGGGTCCTGTACCAGCAGGTCAAGACTTTGTAGTTAAGTTCTCTCATTTTGGTACTTAGTATCCCTTGGTGCGTGAGAATGTGGATCTTCTCCCATTGCTGGTCCGTCAGTGCGACCCCCGTTGCCTGTTCCCACTTAGCGTGGAAATGCGCCGGCGCCCCCTGGTCAGCGGCCAAGAGCATTGTGTAGAGCATCGATATTCCGCGGGTCAAATGTTCTTCGCTGGAGCAGAAAGTCTCGAATTTCGTGGGGTCTCTGTGCAGTAACTGTTTCCCTTGGAGGGAGGCGTAGTAATGCTTAACTTGTTGGTAACGGAATTGGAGTAGGCCTGTGGGCCTGGTTTGCGCTGTCAGAGCGGAGTAGGTTTTCATCCCCGTCCTGGTACACCACGCCCGGAGGCGCTGGGCCTCCCTCCCTCCGAAGCCGTCCACGTCCTGCGTTCGCAGTCCATCAGCCAGGTCGGGGTTGTATATAACCGGCGTCAAGGGTGCGGGGTAGGTCGTGAGCTGCAACTTGTAGCGGATGTTCGACCATATCCTCAGCGTCGCCCCAATGAAGGGGCGGCGTCTGAGTTCCTAGTCTCTCATCGGGGCCCGCGTCCAAACCACCGGCGGAATCCATCCCTTCGCCCACATCAGCTCCAGCTGAACCCATTGTTTGTCCGTGACTGACACATGCCAGTCGACGATGCGGGAGAGGTGGGAGGCCTGGTAATATCCCTGGATGGACGGCAGGCCTGTGCCTCCACGATGCTTTGGGAGGATGAGTTGCGCTCTCCTCACTCTTGGGGTGCCCGACGACCATACAAATTTCAGTATCGCGGAGTCCAGGGATCGGAAGAAGGCCTGCGGGAGAGCTATTGGAATGGTCTGGAACAGGTACAGCAGGCGTGGTAGTAAGTTCATCTTCACTGCATTTATCCGCCCGAACCATGACACACAGAGCTTCCCAACGCATCAAGTCCGTGTGGAGTGTGCGGAGGATGGGGAGGAAGTTTTCCTGGTAGAGCTGGGTCAGGTCCTTCGTCAGCCAGATCCCTAGATATTTTAATCGGTGTGGGCACCACCGAAAGGGGAAGCGAGCCTGCAAGTGTTCCGCCAGCTCATGTGTCAGGGTCGTGGGAAGGGCTTCAGACTTTGTCGCGTTGAGTTTCAGGTTGGAGAGGGCTCCAAACGCATCGAATGCCGAGAGTAGGTTGGGGATTGTGACCAGTGGACTTCCTATGAAGAAGAGGAGGTCATCCGCGTAGGCCGCCACCTTATGTTCCCGGCCGCCGTGGGTGAGCCCCGTAATACCCCCATCCCGTCTGACCGCCTCCAGAAATGGTTCCAGAGAGAGGGCAAACAGGAGGGGGGACAGGGGGCACCCCTGCCGGGTCCCGTTTTTTATCTCAAATGTCGGGGAGAGGACTCCGTTGATCCGGAGCTGGGCCGTTGGGGTCGCGTAGAGCGCTGCGATCCATCACAGGATGTTAGGGCCGAAACCCATCGTCCGGAGCGTGGTTTGGAGGAATTTCCAGTCCACCCTATCAAAGGCCTTCTCAGCGTCGGTGGAGAGGAGAAGGCTACCCTGCTCGGAGCGCTGTTGTGAGTACATGATGTTAAGGGCCCGGACCGTGTTGTCCTTGGCTTCTCTCCCCGGGATGAAGCCAGTTTGATCCGGGTGGACCAGCGTAGAGACCAGGCGGCCTATGCGGGTCGCTAGGACCTTCGTAAAAAGCTTAAGGTCGGAGTTTAGTAGCGATATTGGTCTATAACTGGAGCACGCGGCCGGATCCTTGCCTTCCTTGGGTATGACCGTTATGGTGGCCAGGAGGGTGTCCCCCTGGAACCTACCGTCTTCCAGAAGCGAGTTCAGGCCCGACAATAGCTCCGGTAACAGTATCTCTCCAAATGCCTTAAGATAGCGTGGGGGGAGCCCATCTGGTCCCGGGGCCTTGTCGAGGGGGGTGTTTTTTAGGGCCCCCTGGAGTTCCTCAATCGTGATGGGGAATTCGAGTTCCTCACTTTGTTCGCGTGTGAGAGTCCGGGTGACATGTTGATCTAAGTAAGCTTGTGTCTTCGTTTGTCTCCTTTGTGTCTCCCCGGCTGTCCTATCCGGTGCAATGTTGTAGAGTTTAGCATAGTAGTCTCGAAATTCCCCGATTATCTTGTCAGGCACTTGTGTAAGGGGACCGCTGTGCGTCCTGATTTTAGTTATGTGGCTCTGGCGGCGTTTCTGCTGCAACATTCTGGCAGACGGCCACACTTATTGGAGAACTCGTAAAAATGGCGGTTGGATTTCCGCAATGAGTGTGAGAGTTGTTTAGACAGTTGGTGCTGTAGGGCCCGTCGTGCTTCTAATAGCGCTCTGTATACTTCCTCCGAGTTTGTAGTTTTGTGTTCTTGGTCTAATTGGGCGACCCGCGCATGAAGGTCCGTTAAGAGCCTGCGTGACTCCCTCTTTCGTGCTGTGCCGACCTTGATGAAGTATCCCCGGATTACGCACTTATGCGCTTCCCAGCGGGTCAGGTGCGACGTCTCTGTAGGGTCGTTTTCATTGAAGTATTGGCGGAGAACAGTCTTGGCGTCCGCAAGGGTGACAGCGTCAGCAAGCAGTTGGTCGTTTAGCTTCCAGTGCCGGCGTGTGGGAGTGATCGGACCAGTTGGCAGGAAGGATCTCACATGAGTGCAGCAGGTGGAGGTACTCTTGGGAGATGAAGATGTAGTCTAGCCTGCTGTGTCCGCAATGCACCGGGGAGTAGTAGGAATAATCTCTCGCGTCCGGGTGGAGGACACGCCATCCGTCCGCGAGCCCCGCCGTTCGAAGTGCCGTCTGGGAGACCCGGAGGCAGGTTTCCGACAGTGAGCTACCACCCCTCGAAGTGTCTATGCGGGGGTCCATGGGGACGTTGATGTCGCCCGCGAGGATCAGAAACCCGGAAACCCTCAAGCAGCCGTGCTGTTTTAGCGAGGAAGCGATGTTGTTTGGCATTAGGGGCGTACACAGAGGCGAAGGTGTAGCGCCGGTCCACTATCGTGCCTTTAAGGAACAAGTAGCGCCCATTCGGGTTGGCCTTTTCCTCTAGGCAGATGAAGGGCACAGTGCTAGCGAAGAGGATAGCCACTCCTGCTTTCTTGGAGTCGCTGTGGTTGGCGAAGAATCCCATGGGGTACCTCCAATCTCTGAGAGCCGGGGCCTCTCCCCCCTGGAAATGGGTCTCCTGAAGAAATGCCACCGATGCCCTAGCCGCCCACAATGCTCCCAGCAGGTGTGACCTCCGTTCCGGCGTATTCAGGCCCCTGACATTGTTGGACCAGAGGCGAAGGGGCGCCGGGGCGAACCCCCCAGCACCCGGGGAGGGCATGGGGTCTAGAGCGGTGACGCGGGGGGGGAGGAGGAGGCGGGTAAGGGTGAGGAGCCCGGGCGCGCTCATGCTATGCGGGGGGCCCACGTATGGTGCGATGTCACGCGGGTGCGTGGCGGGGTGGCAGCCCCTGTTGGCGCAGGGCGAGTGGGTCAAACAATGTAAACAATCACAACAGTGAAACTATGTACAAAAGTAGACTTGACTGTCTAGGTGGGTGAATCCGATCTGGGTGTTCCGTCCCTTAAGTTAACCACCCTCCTTGTCCCTCGTCCTAGTGTGTGTTACAGTCTGTCTGTGGGTGCGCGTGTGGCCCAGTGCGGGCAGGAGTGAAGGATGGGTGTGTCCTCAAGTGGGAGCTACCTGTCCTATATCTATAGAGGTTCCCCGTGTCCTCCCCCCTGGCCCTCTGCGACTGTCTATGGCCATTCTGTGCTAAGGAGCAGTCTGGGTGGGGAGTACACAGGTCCGGGTCCCATCTCGTCTGTATCACGGCCTCCTGCCGCTCAGTAGACTCCCAGTCCAGTGGCGAGGGCAGATGAGCGTTGCAAGCCCGTCTCCACGAGCAGTCTCGGGGTGGGAGCCCCCCCTCTCCAGTCGGGTCCCCCCACCCCCCTAGCCCCACCAACTGCAGACCCCCCCAGCCTCCCCCCCAGCAAGCCCCACCAACTCCTGCCCAGAGTCCCCCCAGGTGCTGTCCAGGCACAGTGTGTACAGGTCCCCCCCATGCATCCCCCTCCCCTTCCCCCCCCCAGTAGCTCCCATAGCCCACCCAAAACCCCGGGCGGGAACTATCACTTCCTGTCCCTTAACTAACCCGAAAAAAAGGGGGGGGAGGAGAGGAGAGGCGCAACAGGGGATATATGCTACGTACAGATATACTAAAATAGTAAAAAAAAAAAAAAACCTGTGTGCAAAGGGCCTGAGCTTCTGTGGCATGGCCGGGGGGGTCCACTGTGGGCAATTAATGCGGCAACAAATTGTGGTACCATTGTCCCGACTGGGAGGGGATAAAAGTCGGTGGCGGCTAGGTGCTTCAGCATCATCTTTTGCCTAACAGAGGGGCCGGTGAGTGCCAGGCGGTGCGCCGCCATGAAGTCGGCAGGGTCAAGGGATGCCGCATTCACAGATACCCGGGTGTCGCGGGGCAGGGGACCGGGTTCCGCTATTGTTCCAGGGGCTGCTTCGTCCTCCCTCCCCACCTATGCTAACCTATCACCGCTATGGGTAGCTTCACCCCCTTACCCAGGACCACCCCAGTACCTTGTGGTCCGGTTGATTCCGGGCCACCTGTGCTCCTTGCTCTCCGTTACTCCTCTGCGCCACTCGGTCCGCCCCACATCTGGGGTGACTGGGCCTCTGCTCTCCGGGGCGCGGGCGGGCGGTCGTCTACGTCCGGGTCCTGTCGGGGTGCCAGTGGGGTATCCAGAAGCCAATTACGGACCCGGATGTTCGGCAGTCGAAGGGTCCGCAGTGCCCGCGGGATGTCATCGGGCCAGCGCACCTGGAGCCACGTGGTGCCGTGCTTAATTTGTAGGCTGAAGGGGAATCCCCACCGGTAGGGGACCCCCTTGTCTCGCAGAGTGGTCGTGAGGGGCCGGAGGGCACGCCTGGCATCTAACGTGAGGCCGGAGAGGTCCTGATAGAGGGACACCTCCGAGCCCCGGAACTGTATGCTCGTCATGCCCCTGGCCGCCGCCATCAGCTTCTCCTTAGTGCTGTACGTGTGGAGGCAACAAAGGACGTCACGAGGCCTTCCATCCGGGCGTTGGGGCCCTTGTGCCCTGTGAACGCGGTCCAACTGGATCTCTTTGGGGCCCTCCTGGCCCAAGATCTGTCGGAAGAGGGCCCTCAGGGTGTCTGGCAGCGGGGTTGCGTCCGGCTCCGGGAGGCCCCGGATCCAAATATTTTGCCGCCGGCTCCTGTTCTCCAGATTTTCGACCTGGCGTCGCAGGGAGAGCAGTACGTTCCCCTGTCGTGTGGTGACCAGTTCCGCGGCCCGGTGCTGCGTGCGGCATGCTTGCGCCTCGGTCTCCAGGGCCTCCACCCTCATTTCAACCGCCGACAAGTCTGTCCGCAGGGCCGTGATCTCCTCCCTGATCGCCGTCCGAAGCTCTTGTAGAAGGCCGCCCGAGTCTGCCTTGGTGAGCATATGGGTGGAGATCATGGCCAGCTCCTGCTTAATCTGGGCCAGTGTGTCATCTGGGAGGGAGTCCCCCATGCTGTCCTGGCTCGGGGATCCGGGCGCCATTTTGTCCGGCGGCCCGAAGCTGCCCTGTGTACTCGGGGTGCAGATAAAATCGTCCATCGTGCCCGTGTGGCGGCGTGGGGAGCCACCCAGAGCCTGTGTTTTTTTATTTCTGACCATTTTTAAACGTTAAGGCCGCTGAATAATCGCTATTTTATGGCCAGGGGGTGAGGAGCTTGGTCTCTACACGTCCTGTCGCATGCTCGGCCACGCCCCACCCTATTCACATTTTAGTGTATTAATCATTTTGTTTATAAACGTTCTTAAAGCCCACCCTTACCAACATCTGGTTAATAGGAGAAGGTTTAGGGCAATAATGGCTGGTAAATAGGGAAAGTAATAGCAGGCAAATTTATGAGAATGAACAGCATAATATGGCTATTGGAAAAAGGTGGTAATTTTTTTTCATGAACAGACATTACAGAAAATGTTAGTACATAGAGACATCAATATGGTATTTAATAGGAATTACAAATAGGGAATAATAATGCCTGGGTTGTTCTATTGTGGTACCTGCAGTAAACCAGTGTAGCAGTTGCCACTATGCTTTGCTTTCGACGCTTTCGGACCTCTAGCACAAAGGATATGAAACTTTTTCTTGTTTGTTCATCATTAAACCCAGACCATGCCGTAAACTGAAACTGCTGCAGTTGTCGACTTATATTTTCTTTTTCCTGAGTAAGAAAACAAAACAAAATTCAGTCATACCTATACTGGAATGAAAACGTTATAGCTGTTTTGTTTACTGTTAAAGAAAGCAAGCGTTACATTGTGTAATACAGATCTTCGATAGTCTTTTCTTTTTGTTACTTTTTATATACATGCAAAAATATATATACAGTTGTGTTGAAAAGTTTGAATACCCTTGGAGAATTGGTAATATATGTACCATGTAACATGAGTGAGCTGCAAAACACATTTCTTTTATTTCTCATAGGATTCATATTCAACTGTAGGTTATAACAGAATGGCACAATTATAAAAAAAAAAACAAGTCAACAAAGAAAAAAATGAAACGACCCCTGTTCAAAAGTCTGCACGTCCTTAGTTCTTAATAGTGTGTATTGTCCCCTTTAGCATCAATGACAGCGCATAGTCTTTTGTAATAGTTGTCTATGAGGCCCCAAATTCTTGCAGGTGGTATAGCTGCACATTCGTCTTGGTAAAATGCCTCCAGGTCATACAAAGTCTTTGGTCGTCTTGCATGAACTGCACATTTGAGATCTCCCCAGAGTGGTTTGATGATATTAAGCTCAGGAGACTGTCACGGCTGTTACCACTGGAGGGTCAACTTGCACCTTGTGCTTAGGGTTAATGTCATGCATTTTTTTAAAAGACATTTTTATTGGAGAGTGATAATTTTTAAAGGAAAACTTTATATGTAAAGGATTTGTTCTTAAAAATCTCAATACTAGAAGACTAGTAGACATGAGCCTTCAAATTAAAAATCTAGAGAATCCGGCTCCAACAGAACATAAAAGATTTTCATAGAACTGTTGGAAGTGATGCATTATAATGATCATGCTTTTGTGCTCATGAGAAAATTGTATTATTATGCAGCTTCAAATGCAATCTTTAACACAGTGGATAGGTAAGATCTGTGCTCAGCCAAACCAATTTTTTAAAAATATTTTTTTTCTCCAAGGTGGAAGAATTTCAGCCATATGTCGATTTTGCTCAAAATAATTTTACTACTAAAAAACTGATTCAGGAAATAAACCAGATGAACCGAAAGGGTTCAAAAATGTGCCAATCAGTTGTACTGCAAAATATATGAATAATATAAATATGATGTATATATTTTGCAGTACACTAATAGGAGCATTTTTTCTGCCATTTGTGTTACAGATCAAGTTCAAAAAAATAATAGAGGGAAAGACGTGAATCAATAAAAAAATCTATATTTATATATATATATATAAAAATATATATATATATATATATATATATAAATATAGCTCTTTTATCGCTCCTCATTTCTGTGAATAAAATAAACACTAAGTTACTGTATTGTAGCCATAAAGCATCTTCTTGATGCCACAGACGGAATTTAGGATCATGAATCAAAACACACATGCTCGTCCAATGCATGTTTCTGTTTGCTCGTGATTCTTCTACATTTTGGCTAGCAGTTTGTGGATCACCCAATCAGCCCAAATTAAGATGAATTGCAGTTCAAACAAGTCTTCTTATTACTGCAACTTTATATTGATGGGATAAATGCAATATAAAATCTATGTTCTTTTTATAACTGTTTTTCAAATAATTATTTTGTGAATAGCACAAGAGCAAGTCAGTCCATTGATGGAGTTTGATGTCACATTTACTAAATCATAAGACAATGTTTATTATTATCTATTAGCAAAGATTACTCAGATGTCAGGTATACTCACATTTGTGACTTTTATGTCTCTGATGGTCCATTTGTTAAGGTCAGTACTTGACACAGCAGTCACCATTATGTCCCCATGTGTATTTGTTTTATTTCTGGACCAATAATTTTTGCTTTCCACCTAAAGCACATAGTAGGTAATAATCAATAATCAATTAAAAATGTAATTAAAAATCAAATAAGTATATAATTTGGCTATAATAAAAATTTAATAAAAACTTTGAAGGGGCACTATAGGCACTCTGGCCACTTTATATCAGGGGTCAGAGTCTTGAAAAGGTAAATATCACAATAGTAAGCAGGAAGAGACACCACTATACTGTACCTTTAACATAGGACAACCCAGCAACCATCTCAGTCTGTGCTGGACTTTTTAACATAGGGTATACCCCCTCTGGCTCTTTCACTCTGCTGTTTAACTGGATTGGCTACCACAGTAAAGTGTTGGCAGTCAACCAATCTAAAGACAGAACCTGGCCATGCCTCCCTACAAAGGCTGGGACAAACATTTACCTCACTCCAGACCCCACTGAATACATCTCCTGGTGGATGCTTGAGCGTGGTGGACTGGGAACTCTGGGAGATGCTGGTGTTTGTGTGCCCAGTTCTCCTTGCAACATAGCGGCTCCCGCAACTAGTTAGCAGTGGACTGCTCAGGAGCCAGGAAAAGGTAAGTGTGGGCCTGACAGTTATATATGAACATCTGATATTGAGAATGATATTGAGAAGATCCTACAGGGCCATTAGGCAGGTTAACAGTTTGGGCCCCTCCCTATATTCTTCACATAGGATGGCTAATGGAACCAAGCAAATTCATGGTTATGGGGGACCTAGGTTACTCTTGCTAGGATCTGATATGATGAAGTTAAAGTACAGAGTCAGGTCACTTACTGTAGTATAAGGTATTTGAAATAGGTGTCTTAATGGTATATAAACTGTTTTGACAGGAACCCTTATCATGTACTTCACATTCCCTGACAAATCATTCTTCAGGTGTAAAATGTTCTCAGAAAATAATTATTTAATTGAGTCATAATAAAATAATAGACAATTTGCCTTTATTACCCACTCCCCTCTGTCAGGAAGGTCTCTCCTGTTCTGGGATGTGACGAACAGGACATGTCTATTCCAACCAGAGTAGACATATTTTGGGCCCAACCTCACCTCAATAAAAACTAGTGTAACATATCTACATTATATAAACTATGTGAGATAAAAAAAGTCCAGAAATACACCATAGGTTTTTAAGACAGAATGAACAAGTTACTAGTGCAATAGTGTAAAGGTTACATATCTAACTGATTTATATAAATGAAGAAGGCATCACGCTACTGCTAAATTTGTTTATCTATCCGGTGGACAGTTAGTGGACATTTTCAACCCTCAATATACAAAAGAAAATAGATTATAAATTAACGCACCTTGTCATTTGCAGAAAGCATGACAATTTGGTTTATGTTTTTTTCCAAAATTATTTGCCAGAAATCAGCAACATCTTGATTTGTTCTTAAATTTGAAGCTACAATGAATTCATTTTCTGAACTCGGTACTGCCTGTAATAAAAATTATATTATATATACATTTTTAAATATACAACAGTATATGGAAGAATATCCCAGACAATCTTTCTCAGGATTTACCAGTGGATATGGCAGTTCCAAAAATCATTATTAAATAAAAATATTACATCATATATCCCCTAGTATCTACATGCAAAATATATCTTTTTCATCAACCAACGGCTCTCTCTTTAACATATTAATAACAATCAGTCATCACTTACTCTGCCATATTACTCTCAATAAAATAATTAGAATCATCCATTTTATTATTTTTTTTAAAATAAATCATTTTTCTAATTCTTGCATATTGAGACAATATGAGGACAATGTTCATTGCCATTGCCTTTCTGTAAAAAATAATCACATTCTTTTGTTTTTCCTTTCAATCCACTTTATCATTTTAAGTAATATATGTATTGCATCTCTCTACTAAATTAATGTAATTTTATTTAAAAAAAAATAATAATTTTTATTTTTTTAAAGAGACAATATATTATGAAATCATTTTCACAAGGTTAGATTTCATTATAGGTCAAAATGGAAAATCTATGATAAGTATTCAATATAGGTAGCACTTTTAATACTCATGCATAAGTTGTAATATTCTATATGTGTATTTATGTGTTTAGCACGCACACAAGGTTAAATTATGAAATATTATAGTCACCTACATAAACACTCAGAGATGGCAACGGCAAGTTTGCACGAGCTGCTTCTGCATTTTCACCTTTAGAAAATAAGATGTTGGTTAGTATTTCAAAGCAGAGTAAATAAAAATTAATCTATGTTTATTCTGAAAGAAGAAATGTTAAAAAAAATATTACTCATGTTGTGAAAGTGTAATTATATATAAGACACAATATATATATATATATATATATATATATATATATATATATATATATGCAGAGAAAATAAACTGAAAACCAAGACAGTCAGAAAGCCAAGATGGGCAAATTGATAAGATAGGGTATACAAACAAGACAGATAGACAAGATGGACAGATGTACCCAAAATATATAGTTGTCATAGAAAGCAGTAATTATATACTCACATGTTACAGTGTGGACTTCCATTCCAACTGACTTCAGTTTCTAAATACAAAAGTCAAATTATTCAAATTATTTTAACATAAACCTGCATTGAATTCCTGTATTTTATATGAAATCTCTTGTTGTTAGCTTGGCAAAAATATTTGTAAACATTTCAAGATATCAACACTGTTTTAGATACAAATGTTTAAAAAAATGTTTTCCTTCTTACAGTAAAGAGGAATGCATTTAGAATGCACTTAGAATGTGCTAAGCCATTATTTCCTTATAATAATACAATAATATTATTATTACACTATTACAATAATCATTATTACAATAATATTAATTCAACAAAAAACGTTAATGTATTAGTAAAGGTGGAGACTAAATACTTTACTTAGTAAACAGTGAGTTCATGATAATTGTTAACTTGTGAAATGGGAAAGAAATCTGTGCATTAATTTTACAACATGACAGAAGGCTTCATATTTTGCATTATACTCTCTTACACTAACGAAAAGCAGGGTATATAAGGGCCTGACAATACAAGCACCTCCTCTTTATTTGCTGCTCCTGCTGCAACAGGTCAGAGAATTGTTTATCCCTCCTTGCTTCAATGCTGATATATTTTTGCTCTGATTGTGTTTTGTTTGTATTTGTATTGGATTACTACCCCAGTTTTCCCCTTCTTTTACTCGTCCTTTTCCAGGCTTCCTGCTCTGGCTCTCTTTATTACTGTGCATTGAGGCAGGGGCGGGCTGGGCCGGGGGGCAGGGAGGCAATTGCCCCCCAGGCCGCCCTAAATTCTGTTAGGACCGGCCACTGCAGGGCCGGCCCTTTAAATGCTGCAGCCGCCTGAGCGCTCTGTGAAGAGCCTCAGGCGGCTGCGGCTGCTCCTCTCCTCCCCTCCCCTGTAGCGTGGCCGAGCTGCTTGCTGGTCCACGGTGCCCGGCCGGACTGATAGGAAGGCGCACACTCAGTGTGCACTTCCTGTCAGTCCGGCCGGTTACAGGAAACAGAAACTCAGCGCGGAACAGGAAATTCTGTTCCGCGCGGAGTTTCTGTGTCCTGTAGCTGAGTGCTGAGTGTGCACCTTCCTATCAGTCCGGCCGGGCACCGCGGACCTGCGAGCAGCTCGGCCACGCTACAGGGGAGGGGAGGAGAGGTGAGGGGGGGGAGTAA